GGGGGAATGGGCGACATCTGTAAAACTCTCAACAACAGTAATAATAATAATAATAATAAAAGATCTGTCTTTAAACTGGCCTTACTACATTCTGATTGAAGACTTGATTATCTGCTCTCAAAATCCACAAAACAGGAATTGTTAAGAAAATTTAAGTTGCTCTATGAGTTAACTCTGTGTATGTACTTGAAATGTAATTGTTGCTGGTCATATAAAATGGTCATGACATTTTATGGAGACCCACTGAAAATGAGGTAGGATAGATGCTAATATGTAAAATGTGCTTCATATAAAGAAATCCTTTGGCCCGGCCAGGAGTGGCTCAGCGGTTGAGCGTCGACCTAGGATCCAGGAGATCAGGGTTCGATTCCCGGTCAGGGCACATGCCTGGGTTGTGGGCTCGATCAGTGACTCTCTCATCATTGATGTTTCTATCTCTCTCTCTCTCCTGTACTCTCTCTGAAATCAATAAAGATATATTTAAAAAAAGAAAGAAAGAAAGAAACCCTTTGAAAAGATGCTGGGTTTTTTTCTGTGTATGCTCTATTCGTTATTAGTCTCCATGAAGGGACATTGGAACTTAGAAAAAGGTTTCAGCATATACAAATAAGTGAGATAGAAAGCACTGTTCACTCATACATTAAATAAACATTGTTCAGCTTTAAGGTTTGCAGTTTAACCCACTGTCAACCAGCAACAAATTCTAGCAATTCAGCTAGATAAGACAGATGAAAGGTTGATTTACTGGGACTATGCCATGAACACATACCAAAATAACAGGGATTTTCTAAGCAAAAGTAAGCTCTGAGTATCAGGCAAATCAACTAATTGTTAACTTTATCAAAAAAGTAGAATTAAAGTTCTTAAGAACATTTCATTTACTTTTTTAAAACAATGTCTTCTATAACCTTATAGAATCTGAATTTTCTATCTGTCTTTTCCACATTCAAGAGGAAGCTCAATATCACCTAATTTTTCAGATGCTGATGGGAAACTAAGTATCTAGAAAATCCATGCAAACTTATTCATTCAAAAGCAAAGCATGTGTTTCTCTGAGTCATTATTTGTGGAAGTCTTTCTCAAATGTATTACTTGTAGCTTTGGCTTCTTAGAAAATATTGAACATAATTTGGCCTCTGGTTGAAGAATTGGGGTCACAAATGTCCTGGGAAGTATTATAGCTCTTCATCTTCAGTGACAGATGGATATTTGTCACTTCTATCCCTGTGTGGGTTTTTTTACTTTAAAATGTATTTATTTATTTATTTTACATTTTATTTTTCAATTACAGTTTACATTCAAGATTATTTTGTATTAGTTTCCGGTGTACATTGTACTGGTTAGAATTCTACTCTTACTTGCCACAATATCTGCCGCAGTGGACTATCTAGCTCCCTTCTGTAAAACATAATAGCCAATCATGAATGTTGAATAAGAGTTAGTTACTCGGTGAATGATGGGCCTCAGGGAGCAAAGTGCAAGGCTTTCATGCAGAAGGTCTATGACTGCTCTTATTTGTTTAGGGGCCCTTTCACAATATGTTCCATGCAGGACCATGTTCTAGAGGGCTAAGGTTGTCAGGCAAATGACCTCTAGGGGAAAAAAATAAGAAAACAATATATATATAAAAGTAGCCAGATGGGGGAAATGCAACTGAAAACCACAATGTGATACTACTGTACACCCATTAGGATGGTTATAATAAAAAGAGAAATGGGGAAGAAATTTGAGCTGTCATACATTGCTGGTGGGAATGTAAAATAGTGTACCTGCTGTGGCAAACAGTCTGACAGTTCCTCAAAATGTTATTAAACAGTTACCATATGACCTAGCACTTCTATGCCTAGGTACATACCGAAAAGAATTGAAAGCAGGGTCTCAAAGAGATATAGATATTTGTACACTCATGTTCACAGCAGCACTATTCACGATAGTCAAAAGGTAGGAAAAAACCAAGTGTCTCTCAACAGATGAATGGATACACAAAATGTGATATATCCACAAAATGGAATATTATTCCACCATCAAAAGGAATGAAGTGTTGATAGATGCTATAACATGAATGAACCTTGAAAACATTATGCTAAACTGAAGAAGCCAGTCACAAGGGCCACATATTGCATGGTTCAATTTGTATTAAATATCCAGAACAGGCAATCCATAGAGTCGGAAAGCAAATTAGTGGTTGTGAGGGCCTGGGCAAGGGGTATGTGTTGTCCTTTAGGGATGATGAAAATATTCTGGACTTAGATAGTGCTGATGATACCATTCACTACCTTGTACACTTTAAGTGGGTGAATTGGATAGTATGTGTATTATATGTTAATAATGTTATTATATTTTTTAAAAGTCTACAGAGACATGAAAACCAAAAACAAAAAAAAAAGCCTCATGAGTGATGAAATTGGCTGCACCAATCTTTCCTAGATTCTCCTTAGACACAAATTCTTCTAATTAGTGCTAAGTTGAATTTCAAGAGTACATTAAGTCCCATACTGTAACTGACTTAGTGTGTAATGAAAAGCACTATAAAGTGTGTATTCTTTAAGTATAAGTTTATACTTAAAGAAAATTTTGACAACTAAATTATATAGGCTGCCTGAACATGTTTAAGAGAAAAATACCTCCCCCAAATATATATATAAATTGCTCAGAATATAAACAGTGAGGGTCTGGAGAAATATTTTTTTCTACAGGGGTCCATGAAATATAGAAACAGATAATAAATAATAAACTTAAATGCTGAACTTTTACAAATGAAAAATGCAAACAGAAAGTGGACTCTGGCCATGCAATTTATGTAAGATAGGGGTAATTGAAGAAGGAATTTTCGTGGTTTTTTTCTTTTAACTCAGCCTGTAACCTCTGCTGGGTCCCTAGCCAAATCCTCAAAACACTTCCTTCAGACTGGAACTATTTTTGGAGCTGGCATAGAAAAAGCTGGATGCAACAACTAAAGGGAGCTGTTGTGACGATGGAAAGAATTTCTCTTGTGCAGCTGTGCTTGTCTGACTCTGTATAAAAGACAGGGAGGGTGTCCATTTTTCCCAGATTTTAAATAAGATCTACTTTTGGAGACAATACAGCTTTATCTTCACTACCTTAAACTTGAGTAATAAGAATACAATTTTGCTTGTTAATGAGTTTTAGTCCTCTAAGGTAGAACATAAACTTGCCATTGCTTAGCATATTTGTACTGACATACTATTTGCAGTTCACAAGTGCTTTTATTTCATTCATCGTTGGAGCTCTAAAAAATGCTCCAAAGCAAGGGTGATAACCGCAAAATACCGATGAACGAAATAAAGCTCATAGAGGTTACTTATCTGAGGTTACAAAGCCTTAAGTGATAGAGCCACAAGTCGAGGCAAGATCCTCTGACTCCAAAATTCATGTTTAAATCCCAGCAGAGAACTGTAATAGAGATCATTTCTTATCTCTTACCTCTCTTTGGAATCTTAAACAAGAAAAGCCACTCATTTTTGTATAGTACTCATGATTCATTCTCAAAATTACATTCATGTTGATTGTATTACCATCTTCATGATATCCCTGAGTTGTGCTGTACCAACATTTATCCATCATCCACTATGTGTGAGGCACTGTTCTAGGAGTTGAGTAAGACTGGTAGGGTCCCTGCTGTCAAGGAACTTCCTTTGCTCTTTTAAATAGAGAAGAAGCCTAAGCCACAGAGAAACAAAATGATTATGAGTTTTCCTCCATTAATAGACTGTAAATTCCTTGAGGGTACAGATCATGTCTTACTCAGTTTTGTTGGCTCTATCTTCTCATTGGAAGTTAGAGTGTTACAGCATTCCTTAATGCTCTTATTTTGAAAAGTCAAAGATTAAATGGTAATTCAACATTAACCCTTCTGTTGTACCATGCTAAAAAGGAGTTTTGTTAGATGAGCACCTTAGAGGCTGGCAGAGCTTTGGCCACCTCTGCCAGTTTTGAATCTATTAGGCCTTTAAAGTTGAGTATTTCCCCACAATTCTAGCTTTCAAATTGGAATGTTAATACCTGGGATGCTTGATCTGTAGAGCATTCAGTTTCCATAAGGAATAATCTATCCCTGCTCATCTGACAGCAGCAAGATCTTACCTGGGATTTAGACTAAAAAATTGGAATTCCCAAATTATTTCTGCCTACATCTTTGGATA